AAAAAAATTTTTTTTTCTTATTTTTAAAATTTCTATATAATTTCTATATTTTTTATTTTCATTTAATTTTTTATTATATTATCAACTATATTAATTCTCTATTTCAGTAAATTTTGTAATTACATTTTTCCAATTTGACTGTCATATCATGAAGTTATCACTTGGTCCATTAATTTCCACGAATATCTCGCGTATGATTTAGCGATTCGGGAATATTTGCAAATTTTTTGCGGGATTTTCACGAAAATGGCGGCTGTCATACGATGGTTATATGTGACCGTAAGGGATGAAAGGATTTTCGGGATGGATTTATGACGGCGCGAAATGATCCAGTGTCATCCTCCTACGTACGTTGAGTTCCCATTCGCACTCTACGAATTCCCGCGGATTACGGCAAGAAAATCGATCGAGCTCGCTGATTGTGGACTCGCTCGAGAGACATTCGCATACGACGTAATATACCTACGTCTGATCGGTCATAATATATATAATATCTGCAGTCTCCTTATCAATTATTCATCATTTCTGTTATTTATGCACAATAATATTAATCAGCTTATGTATTAGCGTCTTAATCAAATTTTCTGTAAATTTACACGAAATCGGCTAATATGCATTTTCATATAATAAATTAAGGATTTTCGTATAATTTTGCTTATAAATTTTGTTAAAGTAACTTATAATATAATAAAAATTTGAGGAAATAAAATTATTTTTAACAAAGTAATAAATAAAAGGTTGACGGCTCTGCATATTTTTCTGATTCAATAATTTATTTTCTATTTTAGAGAAATTTCTCAAAACATTTAAGAGTGTCAGCGATATTGATTAATTTTGAGAAGCATAATAAATAATAAAGACTCTTATAAAATTTGTTTTAGACTTTTTATATATAATTAATTTGTTACTAATAAATACTGAAAAATAGATACTCTTTTCATAAAATGTATTTTTATAAAATTTTTATGTTTCTCTGTTTAAATTAGTACAAATTTACATTTAAGAAATTTATACAAACTCACTATTATTATTTATATTAATATTCATTTACATTATTAATTAAATTACATTAATATTATATTATTATTTATATTAATATTCATTTACATTATTAATTAAATTAGATTAATATTATATAATAATTCAACTTTAGTTTTGGTTAAATAATCACTCAGATTTTATTAACTGGAATGAATTATTAGAATTTTATGAAACAAGAAATCGTTGAAGATTCTGTAATATTTTATTCTATTTTCGTATTGTTTAAAAGAACGTGACGCAGAATATTTTGTATATTTTATCAAATTTAATACGAAGAAATATAAGTACAATGATTATTATATTCAAAGAGACATTCAGCTATTTTGGCATATTTAATTACAAACATTTCTGGAATGTTTTTCATTGTTTCTTTTTTGCAAGACTAATTGTTATGTATATAATTACAGTATACATAAATGCTTTAATAAATGTGAATATTTGCGAACATATCAGAGGCGTACATTTCTTAGATATTTCTGAAGTTATTACTGCTGATGATTCAAGATGTATTATTATTATTATTGTTGAGTTAGTAATTATCATACATTTATTTGTTATATACATTAAAAATTATTGTGCCAAACTTTTGCGAAATATGTTGCTTTGGGACAAATTTCATGAACAGTTAGATTTTAACTTTACGAGTTAACATTCGTCGTCCTGTATACGCAAATAATTATTCATTTATCTTTTTGCAAGTTATTTAAATTCAATTTGAACTATTGCATCTTAAAAATATGCAGAGAATGTGTAATTATATATTGCTTCTACTTCCAATCGTAGAATAATCGAGTACGAGTCTGTAATCAATTTGAGAATGATTTCCCTTGAGTAAACGCTTTATTGGATACTATTCTTTTATTTTTTAACATTTAATCTCAATCGTTTTTCTGTTACCAAATTAAAATTTTATTAAAATCTAAATTCATTTAAAATTAAAAAAATAAAAACTGTCTGCATTTTTTTGCGATAAAGAACTTCTTAAAGAACGCTCATAGATGTAACATTTTTTCTGGTAGTTTTTTATGTATACAAATTAATTAAAATAAATATCGCGCGACAATTTTATGAGATGTCGCATCCAACAAAAAACTACATCTCGTTTCAAATATTTATATAAACTTCGGCTGCGTTTCATAAAGCGCATGATGTGTACATGTATCATTTTATTCATCGAATTAATTGAATGAAATGGATGCTATCCAGCAAGAGACATAGATGACACAGTGTAAATGTTGTGTAAAACACAACATAAATTATTATCATATCCTAAGCAGGACAAGTTATTATGATATCAAAATGATGTCAAAATGATTCCAAAATAATTATTATTACGTTATTATTCAATTATTTCCAATTCATTTTGATGTTATTTTAACGTTATTATGACTTGTTATTTTGCTTGGGATTGGATTCAGAAATTTATCAAGGGGACATTGACCCGCAAGCGAAATTGTTTTAAGGTCAAATATAAAAAAATAAAATATTAAATTATTATTTAAATTATTATATTGAAAAGATATTATTTAAATGTATAATTTATAAAACATTTTAAAATTATAAGGAGCATTCAGCCACGCGTAGGATGTTTTTTGCGAATGTCTCATATATTTAAAATTCTTACGTTAACAATAAATTCATAAACATTTCGGCCTATATCAGACCATCTTCAGTATGCCGTATAAATAATATATAAATCATTCGTAATTATTATATAAGAGTAAAGGAATTAAAATAAATAATATATCAATAATTCATAAGATTAGCATAGTCATAAGTTAAAATAATAATAAAAAATTTATGAATTTGTATTAATTTGTTAACGTAAGAATTTTAAATATATGATATTCGCCAAAAAACATCCTGCGCGTGGCTAAATGCTCCTTGAATTTTATATTTGCATTTTGCGAATTACTTGTAAATTTATAAAGTTAAAATTATATTAACAACAAAAAAGAAGAATATAATAAAATGTATATTTTTTATATGTAGGAGTTTCTTAAATTAAAAAATATTTTTGGAATATCAAAATTATGATTAAACATTTCAGAAATATTAAAAATAACAATTGCTATAAATACTTTTCAAAAAGGAGATGACCATTCCCATAATCCTCCATAGATCGGTGATCATTATATCAATGTTTGCCAATGTTAAACAAAGATGAAATGATCACTGTATACACTGCTTTCTTGCTGGATTGCATCAAATGATACATCATGCAATTGCTTTGCGGAATCAAGAGTTTATTGGATACAATGGCGCCACTAGTTGCATGATCGACGCCTTGTTTACAGTAACGGATTAATACGATCAATCGCCCCGAGAAGGCACAAAATAATTTGCCCGGTTCCAATTTAACATGACGTTACAAATGTTGATTTACAAAAATATCAATGAAACTTATGGCGTTTTCAGCCCGATCGAATTTGCAGAGTTTGCACCAACCTGGATTGAATTAATGATGTTTCGTGCT